CCCTAAACCCTAAACCCTCCCCAATCTCAAGCTGCCGCGCGGCTCTGTGCGGCGGAACTCCTCTCGGCCGACCAAGCTGCAAGGCGCTCGCAAACACGGCGCCTCGATAGACGTAGCTTCCCGGGCTTGGGTCTCTCTTGAGGTTGGGGTTTGCGAGGGGGGGGGGGGGGGTTGGGGGTTTTCTGGCTTTCGTCCGGTCTAGAGCATGTCGCAATCTGAGACATAAAAGAATGCACTTAGAGACGGTCGATTCCCTGCATCCCGAAACTTCTCACCAGCGCGAAGTCGCGAGACCCAACGCACCGAACCGGGAATCGACAGGAAGGGGTGTAAAGTGCTGCCTTGCCGAAGAATGGCCCAAACTTGCACCACCAGGACAAGCCCCCCCGAAACTCAACAGCATCGCTGAAACATTTCTACAAGTACTTTGCAAAGGATTGGAGAACTTCAAGACGCGCTACATTCATCCTAAACTTCGACTTCAACTCTGAAACTGGGCTTGTGGCCCTGGTGAGGAAGGTCGCGCCAGCCGCTCGACCAAGGCCTCAAACAATGCTTCCCTTGAAAAATGCCTCTGCTTGGAGAAGAGAGGAATGTTTCTGGCACCCTTTCGAAGTGGGGGGGGAGTCGGGGGTTCGGAGGCGCATTCGCAATGTTGAGGCCTGCTTGGACGTGGGACTGCTCGGGTCAAAAAAGGTTTGGGCGGATGCTCTGAAAGATGGACGTATGTGCCGTTGCAAACTTCTTGTGATGTTATGTTCTGCTGGAAAAAGTTGGTTCGGTTAACACCCGACCGAGACTGGTGTGAAACATCAACACTCTGTATGAGACGGTGCACCACTTTTTACTGTGCATGTTCCTACGACCACTAGAAGGTGTTTGACGAGCGATCATGCACTTGCTTGTGATCGGTTACGTCTTCCTTTGAAGTGTTTGAGAGTGGCATGCGGGGACAGAAACGGGATCTGATAAAGTAGTGACCACGGGATAGTTTGCTGGAGCCCCGCGCCGAAAAACTTGCCAAACACAAAACGCCTAGCCTGTCCAGTCCACCCCCCTGCCTTGGCCCCGAGATCAAAAGGATGTTTCCAAGTTCAGAGCCGGACCCGCTTTCCGAGATTCTGGGAAAAATCGTGGAGCAAGTGATTCAACAGCATCTGGGGTACCACAGGCACCTGGGCTCACCTCCTCAAAATGACTCCACTGTACATCACACGCGAAAGCTCACGCGAACAAGTGTACTCCCAACCCGAGGCCCTCTTTCTCTTGGGCCGGCACATCCTGCGCATGTACCGGCAGGCCTCAGAAGCACAGAATGAGGGCGTAGAAGAGATCTCTGGAAGCTCGTTCCAGCTGCGACATCGCACTTCCATCGAGAGGAAGAAGCCAGGCTTGATAAAACTCAGGCCCTGGATCTTCAAGCAACTTCTTACCTGTACATGTATGCAGGAATGTATGACATATACACACATACATACATACATACATACATACATACTTACTTACTTATTTACCTATTTTATAGCATATAACATACATTCATGACTATCGGCAATGGTGCGAGACGGAAAGGCCGAAAACTTCGCAGCAGGATGCTCTGGTCTTTTCCATGTTGTGTTCTGAGCTAGGATGGAATGCCGCAGCGATGTTCACATGCAGCGAGAAGTCTGCCAGCTCTGTCCATGCATCTGATTGCTCAAAGCAAAATCTGAAGGCGAACTCAAAGACTTGAAAGAACCGTTTCAAGGGCAAGAGCTGGCTTAGCTATCAAGACAAGGCAGGCTCAGCGTTTCAGGCCTTCAAGCCCAAAGCTTTGGCGCAGTCTGCCCAGATGTCCTCCGTCTTGCGCGCAGGGCCCAAATTCGAATCCACCTGTGCCACCCGACATCCCCCACGGGACTTGTAGTGCCCAAGCACAGGCACCGTCTCGGCATGGTAGGCAGCGAGCCTTTTGGGGAGAGCATCCTTATTGTCGTCGGGTCGTTGCGTCAAGGCTTCTCCGGTCTCATCGTCCCGCATGTTCGCCGGCGTGGGCTCGCTCTTGCCGTCGAAAGACTTCGGGGGATTGTACTTGGTGTGGTACGAGCGGCCAGAAGCTTTGTGAATCCAGCGGCCACCGATCCTTTCAATCAGGGCTTCATCTGGCACGCTGAGCTCCAAGACGGTCTTCACTTCTTCCCCGGTGGCTGCCAGCATCTCGTCCAATGCTTTGGCTTGAGCAACTGTGCGAGGGAAGCCATCTAAGATGAAACCTTTCAGGCAATCTGCAGCCTTGACTCTGTCCCTGATGATGCCAATAACAATGTCGTCGCTCACAAGCTGCCTTGCCACAGCAGGCTGTACAAACTGCTCTCGCATTCTCTCTCCCCTCACAACTTGCAAACCTCATCAACCCCATCCCCCGAATCCGCAACCCACACCCGCAAGACGACGTGCGGATTCTTCCTGACAAGGCTTGCTCCAGTCGGTGTGTCGTGGGCTATTCACAAGATTCAACAGGGTTTAAGACACATGCCGGATGCGGGAACTGCTGACTATCACTACAGTCGCTGGGCTATTCTGCTTCTCGACGGGTGTCTGACGACCACCGACTTCCAGCTGAATCACACGTAGCTGAGCCCTGAACTCGACACTCGTGATTGTCTGCAAAACGAAAGAAGGCAGCCGAGCGGCCCTTGCTCCATCACCGACTTGGCCCTCAAACCGATCTCCGTGCCAGAATCCACGGCTTCACGCAGCATGTCTCCGGTAGAGAGCTGCGGAATTCCCAGCGCCGTTGTTATTCGTCCACCATGCGTGCCCTTGCCAGATGCTGGCGGCCCGAACATCAGGATGACATTTCTCGAAGTATAGCCTTGGCATATGCAAGACAACACTCTGCAACTACAGCTGGGGGTTTGGAATTGAGAAGCTTACCTGGGCCTCTACCTCACGGCTCGAAGGTTGGTGACCAACGGTTGCTTCTTGCAAACACAACTGACCACTCAATGTTTATCAACCTCTCATTGCAACTTCCACCCCTTCCGACTATAGCGCTTGTGCATGCAAGACGAAACCCTTATCACACTCTAAACTCTCACCAAGGTCGGGCCGGGACCTCGTCATTCCTTGCTGCAAAGGGGAGCCCCCAAAGATCCTCCATCTGCAACCCTAACCCCCCCCTTGATGAGCATCGAGCCCAAGGGCCAACACTGCGAGAAAAATACCCGTCTTTGGCTCTGGACGTTTTTGATCCCTTGGATGGGGGATATGCCTAGTACCAGAAGCCCTGACGTCACCAGGTGGCCGAAGGTCCAGCGCAGGAAGCTGGCGTGGGACACATTACCTGCAACGAAACCGGTAACTCGGGGCCTCGTGGATGTTTGGAAAGGAGATATCGGGGTTTGGGGGCCCCTATAGGGCCCTATAAACCCTAAACCCTAAAATGTAGGGGGCTTTGGTGTTGGGGGTTTTCGGATCTGGGCTTTCCGACTCTGACTCTCGGGACTCTAGGGTGGAGGCTTCGAGCTTAAGTTGTCCCCCGCAGACACCTCGCCGCAACCACAAAGTTGGACACTGAAAGCTGGGAGTTTAGGAATAGATAGACAGACAGATAGATAGATAGAAAGACAGATAGACGGGTAGGTAGATAGATAGATAGACTCTACCAACACCAGAACCCCTGAATCTGCGCCTAAATCAGGTATGCCTGACTCTGAAGTATCACCGGAACTATCCAAGCCTATCGCTGAAGAAGTCAAAAGCTTGCCGACATGCTGCCAGGGCCGAACTTGGCCACGGCAACGGACGTGTCCTCCGCTCTGAAGCCATGGGTTCACTTGAGTTGCCTAAGTAAATTTTCATAGAAGTTCAAAAAAGGGGGATCCTCGAAGGCCCCTTTTGTTGTTGCGTTAACCTGCCCTCCGAAACAGAACCTGAGCTCAGGGAAACTGCGGCCTCCAACCCTGAATGGCCAAAATCCTGTGCTTCCGACTGTGAGCAGCATTTCTGTAGAAGAAGAACCGTGGTCTGCAGCAGCACACCCAAAAGATTCCCGTAAGGAAGTCGTGTTGCAGCAAACCGCAAAGCGCTCCACTCGGGGACGCAGCACAGTCATCTGCACAGGGCAGCATCCCCCAGAACGAACAAACGCCGGCAAGACCAATCGCATGAATCCTGAAACCGGAATAGGTTTCATCTCCTTATGTGAAGTGAGTCAGTGTGTGGGTCGTGTAGTACTGGCAGGCAAGCCCTCCCTATCAACCCTTGCACACCCCAAACCCTAAACCCGCAAAACCCCAAGCATCTCCCAATGGTGCTTCTAGAGGGTGACTCCTCCTGCGACACGCCAATGCTCCGGAGTAGCGCCACGAACTTCGCCTGCCCGTCTCTCGAGACTCTCTGAGGGAGTTTTGGGGTTCCTATCAAAACCTCAAAGCCGCCAAAGATTTCGAGTGCGTCTCCGAGTCGGAACTAGAACGAAGAAGTGTAGGAATTGGCTACAAGGGTAGGACGGGATCTAAGGATGTCACGACACACGTGCAACCAAGGGACAAGCCTTGCTGGGCAAAGGTGGGGGGAAACCCCAGGCTTATCAACCACGCCTTACAT